AAGATCTTTATTGTGGTTTGAAACATATTATATGAGTGTATTTTTTTTTACCAACCGTCTAATTAAAAGGACCACTGTCTGCTTTGCTATTGGTGTTGTGTTTAAACGGCTCACTATCCTGTTGAAATCTGCTATGTCTTGGGGTATAAATACGGTCAGGTGCAGACAAGTTAGTGTCAGGAGGGTTTAAGAAGAATTTTTCGTACCATTACATCTGCATAGAGACATCCTAGACCACAATTGCGTAGGGGGGCAACCAGATGTCAGTGACGGGGCCCCTAAGAGGTCGGACCCCCTAAGCAACTGCAGTCTCTGCTTACTGATAGTTACACCATTGCTTCAGTATTGTGTTATTTTTAGTTTTTTTTATAATCTGTTTGCTACTGTAAACACTACAATTTCCCCATTGTGGGACAATAAAGGGAATTTTCTTTAAATTAGGTATTTTTATTAGTATTAGGGCCAAGCTAGAGATTCTTTTTTTCTTCTATTTCAAGAATAAAGTCGTAGCATTACGAGAATAAAGTTGTAAATTACGAGAATAAAGTAGCATACAGAATAGTCATAAAATTATGAGAATAAAGTCGTAAAATTCCGTGAATAAAGTCAATACATTATCAGAATAAAGTCATAACATTACGAGAATAAAGTCAAAACATTAGGAGAACAAAGTCGTAAAATTACGAGAATAAAGTCATAAAATTACCAGAATAAAGTTGTAAAATTACGAGAATAAAGTCGCAACATTACAAGAATAAAGTCGTAAAAGTACGAGAATAATGTAATAAAATTATGAGAATAAAATTGCAGTGAGAATAGTCGTAAAATTACGAGAATAAAGTCATAAAATTACGAGAATAAAGTTGTAAAATTACGAGAATAAAGTCAAAACATTACAAAAATAAAGTCGTAAAAGTATGAGAATAAAGTCATAAAATTACGAGAATAAAATTGCAGCGAGAATAGTCATAAAATTACGAGAATAAAGTCATAAAATTACGAGAATAAAATTGCAGAGAGAATAGTCATAAAATTATGAGAAAGTCGTAAAATTCCGTGAATAAAGTCAATACATTATGAGAATAAAGTCGTAACATTACGAGAATAAAGTCAAAACATTAGGAGAACAAAGTCGTAAAATTACGAGAATAAAGTCATAAAATTACGAGAATAAAGTTGTAAATTACGAGAATAAAGTCATAAAATTCCGAGAATAAAGTTGCAGTGATAATAGTCGTAAAATTGCGAGAATAAAGTCGTGACATTACGAAATTATAGATTTTATGAAAACTCTAAAATGAGGAATTATATGAAGTTATACTTTGGCTCTGGCTTGATAGATAAAGAAATGTTTTAGCTCAGCAGCATCAAATTGGGCAGGAGGTCAAAGTGGACTAAGGTGGCTGTTTGGTGGAGCTGGTTGGCCATATGGTGTCGGAGCTCAAAGCTTTCTTTCTGAAACGGGTTATAATATGATGACTTCGTCCTGGTAATATTACTACTTCATTCTGGTAATAATACCACTTTATTCTCAAAATAGAAGAAAAAAGAAATCTCTAGTCTGGCCCTAATACTCTGTCGTAACATCCGTCTCTGCCTGGATACCCCTATGAAAACTTTCTAGAACCGCTACTGCATACATGGGCACAAGTTAAAGCCCAGATTACTCTTAAGTAATTTGTTCAACTGAAATAATTTTCTATCAGTTTGGTCCCCATCCCCCCTAATCAGAAAAATCCTATCTGCGCCCCTTTTTCAGAACGCAAAGTTCTGGACTTTTCTCTCTTTTTTGAAGGTTTTCTTCCTGTCATCTTTAGAAAGATCTTTTTGGAGGGTTAATTCAGACTATATGGATATTGTTTAATGTTGGCTGTTTCTTATTTGGCTGCAGTTGGCCTTTCTGTGTCGCTGCTCCGGGTGTGAGGCAGCTGTCCTGGAGGGAGGAGGCAGGCAGAGGGAGGAAGGAAGCGGGGATAACGTCACGAAGACACGGAGTAAATCTGGCTGAGCAGCGCTTAATGGACGACCCTTGATGCGGGCCGGAGGAAGGCAAAAACTGGACACACTTATTAACATTTTCTCCTAACACTAGAACAAATAAAATATGCATTCCGAAAGCGAAGAGGTGTGACGCCGCCAGGAGAAGGAGGCAGAAAGCAGCAGTAGATTTTAATCCTTCATTTTTTTTTTTTTTTTTTTCCAGAGCTCCACTAAAGCGCAGAAATGGAAATGTGTGGAGCCCTGCTCGGTTCCTCTGCCCACTGATCGCGACACACGGAACTTTTTTCCACATTTATTTATTTTTCTTAAGGAGGATCGACCCTGAACTGCATCTTTAATGCGTGTAAAAAAAACACGCATTTCAACCCTCCACGGCATTTCGGAGACGTCGCTCTGAGTGATCATTGAAGCCCATCGGGAGAATTAACAGGTAGCCTCCCTTTATTAAGCCTGCTCTGCGCTAAGATGGCTGGGTGGGGGGTGGGAGGGGGCTCCATCTTTTATGGGAAATAGATTTAATAGGAAATAGGTTGATTTGTATTTTTAGATTCTATGCTATAAAACTGCAGTGCTGATCATGCATCCACATCCATCCCCCATGAAGCGCTGCTTTCTCTCCCTTTATTTCTGGCCTGCATCTGGACGCTGCTGTGAGCACATCCTACACATTTACATCTGCTCCATCAGACATGCAGCAGTTAAAAAAAAAAGCCTCTGCACTCCTCTCCAAGCTGCAGATGTGACCATCCTGTTAGTCCCAACATCAGTGCATCCAGGAGGGGTGGGGTGGGATCTGTGAATTCCTGTCTTCTTGTGTTGAAGACAGGCTATGACAGGCTAGATGGAGGTAAAGCCTCCAGTCCTCTGCTCTGCTTTGCATCAGTGCAGGAGGAATCTGCACCAACAGCCCAGATGATGCTCATAAGGAGCTAAGGTTTGCACATGAGCATCTGGCTGGACTCATCCAGGCCTGATCTCTGATGTGTCCTCCTCTACCTCCACCTCCTTCCTCAGTCTTTCTCCTCCTGATTGGCTAAACGAGCAGCTGTGTCAGGAGATGGATACCCATCATGCATCCCATCCTCCTTTGGCTTCCATTAGTGCTGTGTGATCCATCTGGTCACAGGCCTCTCCAGGGAAATGTAGTCTACGGTGGCTTAATGTTCTTGTAATCTGAATGGTTACATGTAAAGCTAGATCAAGATGTTGGTGGGGCTCCTCTTCCAGTTGGGATTTTTTAAGGCCACATCTGGGCCTTAAAATGTCCAGAATAGATTTGCAGGCACAAGGTTCTCCTTAGAGTTTGAGTATTTTGACATCAGTCTAACTGATTACAGATATGTGCTGCCGATTCTTTAGTCAGATGTTGCTTTTTCTTTCTCCATTTACAATTTTAAATGATAATGTAAGTCTAAATGTAAAGAAAAGAAGCATTTATTAATAAAAGAAAATACTAATGGATAGCAAATGTCGTATATGACCGTAAGCAGAGATAGCAAAAGTACTCACTTTCCGTACTTGAGTAAAAGTACAGATACTTGTGTTAAAAAATACTCTGGTAAAAGTGGAAGTACTGATTAAACTTCTTTACTCAAGTAAAAGTAACAAAGTACAGGCTTGTAAATTTACTTAAAGTTTAAAAGTAAAAGTAGAAACCACTTTTTTCATGCCGTTGCCTACATTTTAAATTGATGTCTGCCAATAGGACTAGATCTCCGTTGTGTTCATATTCAATCATCTCGTCGTCCATGCTACTATGCTAACGCCACCGCCACCAAGCTGCAATGATTTGCCGCGAATGAATAACGCCGAATCTGTTGATTCATCTTGTAGTGGTGCGTCAAATGCAACGTAGATTCCCATCCAATTAGATTGAATTTGGTATTGATGACGTGAAAAATAATAACGGTAACTCCATTGAAATGATTCAAAACTAAAGTAACGAGCCAATTTTTTAAAATGTAAGGAGTAGAAAGTACAGATATTTGTGTAAAAATGTAAGGAGTAGAAGTAAAAAGTCGCCATAAAAATAAGAAGTAAAGTAAAGTAAAAATGTCAGAGAAATCTACTTGAGTACAGTAACAAAGTATTTGTACTTTGTTACTTCCCATCTCTGACCATAAGCATATATGCTGATACGCAAGGATGGATCAGCCTATAGCAGTAGAAGAAGAAACAGCAAATATCGGCTGACTCTTTATCATACCCGAACACTAACCCTACTAGCTAACCCTAAAGGCAAGCAGCGTGTAAAATCTAATGTAATTAGACTTTCAGAGAACAAATTGGGAGGAGTTCCTTATAGTGGGATGTAGTCTTGGGTTTCAGGGTGGTGCCGATGACGGCTGACCCAAACAAACATACTACACAGTAGGCTTTGATGCAAAAGGTTTGTACAACAGCAGGAACCAAAGACCACTTTAAAAGAACCAAGGTCCTAAAAGTCCATCCAGGTAACTCAGAAAGTGATTTCTGGTTGGGCCATGCCAACAGAAAGCCTGTTTGAGTTCACTTCCAGTTAATATAGGAAAATAAAAACCTTCCATCTAACAATTCATAGATGTAAATTGAGTATATAACTAAGGCCTGGGTTGGGGCTAAATGAATGAAAGCAACTGGAAAAGACCAAGATTAGAGTGAGCCTGAGTAAGACTGTTAAAGGAGAAGTCCAGTCAGCAAGTAATGATCCGTTGATCATTACTTGCTGATCATTACCTAAAACTAATATGTTCATGGCGATTTAATGAATTAAGTGTTAATCAATAAAAAAAGTAATTTTCGGCGCGATCACTGAGTCCGGGAGCGGCCATTTTTGGACAAATATAGTAACGCCTAACTCCTGACATCTCCAGGTAGTGATGTCACAGTGCGGTAAGCCGAGCGCCATTCTCCCCATTTTACAAACAAAATCAATGGGAGCTACTGGACACATCTGCAATCGACAACAATTATATAAGATTTCCAGAGGACTTAACCATTGAAATTCGCAAGAGCTACAAAGTGACAACGCCCCCATGCATGGCAGTTGGATGTTGTAATACATCGGGTAAAAGTGGGAAAAAAAGTGTTATTTCACCTTTCCGATTCATGATCCTCCACGGACAGGTTTGTCGTTGGATTGCCAAATTAAGGAGGGAGGATTTGCCACTGAACTTCTGACCAGAGAGAAAACACATAATATGTAGCCAACATTTTGAAGAAGATTGTTTTCAAGATGACTTAATAATAATAGCGCGTTGTGACAAACACCAGATGAAGCATTGGGACTTGCTCAAAAGCCTCCAGTAAAGCACATTCAAATGAAAATTACTCTTAATTATAAACACTTATCATTTATTGAACAGTATGTAATCCATTTCATATTTAAAGTACTTTCAGAAGTTTAAACTCTGAATATGATCGGACTTCTCCTCTAAGCTGAATACGCCTTGTTTGGAAACTGAATTAGAAACCTCTTGTGTCTGCTAATGTGATCTAAATGAGAAACCAACCTGATATTGAATGTTTTTGACATTGTATTTTATTCTATTTTATTAAATTTACTGTTAAATATATTGTGGAGAAAATTAAGTTTAACCAGTGAATGTAGCCCAATCATGGGGGCTTTTGGTGAAATTCTCAAGCCCACCACCCACCTGCAGCCTCTGCACCAATAACATCTCCCTCTACAGTCCAACCTGGACTGTTTGCATTTTAGGTTTTGTTTACTATAAGCTGCAGTTTAAACTGTCATGTCTTGCGGAGGTTTTTGGAGGGTAACAAGATCCAATGATTTCTAAATGCCACAGTCCTTCTCATCAAACTCAGATTTGCTTACTTTTAGGTATTTTGAAGAAGAAAAGGGTAGTTTTAAGCTGCCTGCTGATTTGACAGAAAGATGTCCATCTTTTGCTTTGCAGTTTATTCATAGCACTTTATTTGCAATTTCCATTGTGAATTAAATATCTAATCTTTAATTAGTTTACAAGTTTAATTTCTCCCAATAAGTAGGCTTCTTTAGTGTTTGCTGGCCGGTTGCCAGGCCCGCTAATGCTAATGCTAACCAAAACATCCGTTTTTAAAAGTTCAGATGAAAAGCTACAACCTCTATGTAGCTTTCCAGCCTCTGCTTTTTTAAAATCGATCCAGGCTTTAATATGTCATAGTATTCCTAAAACCTTACATATTGCCATTTGTGATGCTGTACATTAAAAATTATAATTACTTCAAAAAATATGTATCCATGGTTACATTTTTCACCCATGGAGGTCTCCATTTTTTCACCTCTGCAATGCATGCTGGGTAAATAATTAGGTTAGGTCTGGCTGGACTGAAACCTACAGAGTAAACACAGGGAGGCTAACATAAGCATATGGTTTTGTCGTATTGCGTTTGACTGTAAATTCAGACAAAGCCACACTCCGTTACCACCTCAAAGATTTCATGAGCCGTTATACATGACATAACTGGAAATTAAAACCTGTGACCTGCTTGTGATCTACTGTTTACTATATTAGCTAGAGCTAACACCATCAACATATGCTAATGTAGAACCAAAATCAAATCAGAAGATAATAAACGACTGCTTAAAGTGACAGTAAAGCATCTTTTGGTCTTTGTAACACATCTTTCTAATATATCTAAGAAAAAGTTTTGATCCCAATGCTAACCATTAAGAGCCTCTTTTAGAAACTGCAGTTCTTTGTAGCATAGCTCTCCATCTGGGTTAGCATCTCCTAGCAGCAGCTTCTTCAGCCAACTCTCCCCTCTTCCTCCATTTGGTCCTCCTCCTCATCTTTCATCACCTCTTGTCATTTCTACATTCTCAACTATTTCAACACGCTCGGGTTCAAAAGGAAAAAGATTTAATGTTACTTATTGCTGTTTTTGGCTGGATGGAGCTAATGCTACAGGACCTAGCATACGTCATTTATCCAGAATTCATTACAGTGTAAACAACAGGGTCCATGCGACTATATTTTATTTTATTGTATTAAAACTAAAAGCTTACAAAATATTTCCTGCACTGTATTTACTCTGAGAATAAATGTTTCTCAAATAAAGAATATTTTTAGTTTCAGTTGAAACTGGATCCCTTTAAATCTGTAGGGCGACAGTGGTGTTGGATGTAGGCGTTTGCCCTGAAATCAAAGGATTGATGGTTCAAGCCCCGACTCCGACTTTCAGTGTCGTTGTGTCCTTGGGCAAGACACTTCACCTGCATTGTCTACTGATGGTGGTCAGAGGGCGCGGTGGCGCCAGTGTACGGCAGCCCCGCTTCTGTCAGTGAGCTCCAGGGCAGCTGTGGCTACAATGTAGCTTGCCACCATCAGTGTGTGTGCATGAATGTAGCGTAAAGTGCTTTGGTCAAGACTCCTGACTTGAATAAAGGCGCTATATAAGTACATGCCATTTACCATTCACCAACAATCAAAAGCTTGACTGATGTTCTTCCTTGTTTTGCGTTTTTGTTGTTGTTATTTTTGGCTTTTATCTTAGAAATGTAACATTTATCAGCTCTATCATGGAACTACTATGATCTGAGCTTAATCTCACATGACTTCAAACTGCCATTCCCATCGAAGCAGAATCCTGGGTGTCGATGTTGTCATGGTAACCAGAAATAAATATTTATATAATTATGATCCCTCAAATAAGAAATTGTTCTTCAAAGTTACAGATAAATATATTGAGTTTTAAAAATTAAACACAATCATTAAACACATGACTGCAAATCTTGTGTAAAGTGAAATCTTCTACTGCGCCCCCTACTGGTTTGGAAGACCTAAACAGCGGCTAAGTTTTTTTGCTTCTTTGGGCTGGATCTGACTGCGACACTGTTAGGACAACAGTTTAACCACGCTCCCAAGAACAGGAAGCTGGTGTTTCATATCCACAAGGAGCTAGAAAAACATCTCCAATAGCAGGAGAACGTCAGTAGGGATGCCAGGGATTATCATGAGGTTGGTCTGACCTGTACAAGTCATTTTTTAAAAGGAATTTAAACCAGTTATCTGCTGCCTGGTAATAAAACTGGCATCTGAGTAGTAGCTTAGTCATTACAGATTATTCTCCCCTGTTAAAACCACACACGGCTTTACAGTCATAAACAGATTACAAGTGTTTTTCTCACTCTGGCTTCAGTAAACCTCAGAGATTAAAGAGTGTGCTTGACTTAATTATTAATATCCACAAATCTGGTTAAAAAAAGTGATTTAAGTGAACAATTTTATCTGATTGCTGTATATTTGATTAAGATGACCACGGGATTATGGATTATGAGAGCATCAAGCTATGCATAATTCCTATGGGATTACACTGAATATATATATAGTATACCTGCTTCTACTCTTTGGGTTGGAGCAGGGAGGCCTGGCCTGGAACCAAGCCTAGTCACCTCAGGTTAAGAAGCTCCACAGTCACCTTTGGTAACGACTCTGGAAAACATTTGATCGTATTTAAGTTTCTGAAATAAAAATCATTCTCCAGTCAACAGGTTAAAACTCAGACAATTTCCAAAATGAGCGAGCTGGAGCAGCTTCGTCAGGAGGCCGAGCAGCTGAGGAACCAGATAAGAGTAAGCCTCTTTTTCTTTTTATCAATTAGTTTATCTTCACTTTTAAGATCTGGCTTCCCTAAAAAGTTCCGTTGTCTTTTCCCTGCCTGTGGTGCACGTTAGGATGCCAGGAAAGCCTGTGGAGATTCAACCCTCACCCAGGTAAGTGACACTGAAAATAGCACAGGAAATGGTAAATGTAATAAATGCTTATTGCACTTTTTTTGTTGTTGCCATATTTGCAACTCAAATCATGAATTAATCACAATTAATCGATTTCTGAAATTATCCTCCACTATTTTGGAAATGAAATGAAAGAGAAAAAACAACCAGAGCACTAAAAATGGCAAACTATTAGAAGATATAATTTTACATTTAAGATGGAAAAAACATTTTTGTTTGATCCGCTATTCAGAGCACAGTTTAGCTTCACTTGGTTTAAATTCTGTAAATACTCTTTCAAGCAGATTTTGAAGATTGTTAATCTATAAAATTAAAAATAAGCTACAGATTAATCGATTAGAAAAGTAATCCTTGGTCACAGGCCTAAATTAATGGCAACATTGAACTTTAATAAACTAAATATTTCTGAAGGAAAATAAAAATCTGTGTTCTCATTTAGATGGCTGCCGGTTTGGATCCCGTCGGTCGGATCCAGATGCGGACAAGACGCACGCTCCGTGGCCATCTTGCCAAGATCTATGCCATGCACTGGGCTACAGACTCAAAGTGGGACACCCAAACTTTACTGCTCTATTTGCTGCAGAATTGTTTTAATACCTCCAATTACATGTTTGGTTTTTAACAGCGAGTTTTTTAAATAATTTCACTAAAGCTTTAAACCTTCCTTTTTTGGGATCTTTCTCCTGTTCAGATGTAGACTTCTATTTTAATGTGTTCTTGCAGTCACTGGATCTGACTTATTCATGACAATTATAACAGATAGATTGTTATTTAACAACAGTTTTTGTACTGATTCAGATTTTATTTTAATTTCTTTGATGCTAGGAAACAGCACTGTGCTTTAAGACTTAAAGGAACATGTATTAAAAGGTTAAACCTGTTAGGTTTGATCTGTTTATGTTAAATTATGGAATAGGTTTGTTACCTTTGCTTGGTTTGGTTTCTGCAGGCTCCTGGTTAGTGCCTCCCAGGATGGGAAACTGATTGTCTGGGACAGCTACACCACTAACAAGGTAAAGTCAGAAAAAATAATTTTCTTATGAGGTCATAACTTGTCTGAACTAGTTGTTGAGTGACTCAGCCCAGCTTCAAGGCAACTATTGCAATGGTCTAATTTCCAGTTTCATCAGTAGGGTTTTATCTGCTTTTTTCCCCTCTAATCTCAGCACCATAGAGATTTTTTCACTTGTAAATGTTCATTTTATTTCATATAACATAAAATTGTTGTTTAAAGGTGTATTGACTCGTTATTTAACTAGAGTAGTATTTCATATTTTTGTGTTTTATGCTTTGTTTTTGCTCATTAGGTTTGTAAATAAAGATCTCTACTCTTAAATGTTTGTTCAGTTAAGCAGCTGTTTAACTTATTCTAGGAATCGCCTCTGAAAAGGATACAGAGAAAAGATTTTTAGCCAAGCTAGATGGTAGAGATGTCAGACAGACTGAGGTTATCCTGTTCAGTTTTAAGCTGCCATTCATGAATCTGCTTGTTTCTGCTTGGAGAAGCAATAAAGTTTTTGGTAACCCATGAAAACATGGAGCGGAGTTTTAGACGTATAAATATTCTGTCAACCGGGTGGACTGGATTCTTTTGGGAAGCAAGAGAAACAGACCTGGTGGAAGTTATATTTTTGTTAATAATCATATCTTTCCACATATAATTATCGTGTCGTCCATGAGTGACTGTCTCCCTGCCAGCTCCCTGATAAGCTTCTCTCATTGGTCGACATGCTGCATCAAGCTGCAAATTTCACATTTTCCAGCTGCAGCATCTGATGCTTTGGACGAACCTGGTGGTCAAAGTAGAACCCCTTAATGCACTTTAAGATGCCGCCATCATTAGGGGCAGATCATCAGGCATGGCAACCCCCCACCCTAGGCCTCTACTGGGTTATTTTTGCTCCCACTGTGATGTAATTCACCACCGCTGGAGCAGATGGTTGTAAGCACCGATACCATTATGTGGAAGGTCTTACTTTGACAATTTAGGTCAGGCATGCCCAAAGCTGTCCTGTAGGTTTTAGAGGTTTCTCTGCTTGAGCACAGCTAATTCTGATGATTGTAGTTCAGTGAAAGCCTGTTAATTAGGTATCAATAAAAATCAGAGAAACCTATAAAACCTGCTGGACAGCCGCCCTCGAGGACCGACTTTGGGCATGCCTGATATAGGGTGTTTGCACACCTGTGGCTTTAGGTCGATCTAAACTTCAACCTAAATTTGGTTCCTTTGGGTCTGTAAAGAGCATTATTCTGCTTTTTCTCCTGCATAAGGCAGGTATTCCTATTCAGTGTCTGCAGCATATTATTTTAAAGTTACAGCAACGATTCATATTCAGACACTCTTGTTGTTGACATACCTCAGTCTCCATCATGAAAGTTTTTTCCATTTATCTTGGTTACTACTTCAGTGGCAGGACTTACAGATTTCCCCCTGTTGTCATGGAGACGTGACGCTCTCCAAGTAGTGCGGCGTTTGGTCCTGAAAGACAAAAAGCTGGCACAGAAAAATTAAACAATGTATCAATGTTAAGATTCAGAGCTGCATAAGGGGGCGCACTAAACATGTGAAAACACCCTTAACGTTAGTATAATAACCAAAAAAGGGATGGAAAAATACAGTAAATTATTCTTGCAATAGTATGTCATAAACAAAGAGGACGGATAAAGAACTCATATTTTTTGAAGAATTTGTTTTTTTGATTTATGGGGTACAGTTTGCTTCTCAGACATTTAGGAGTCTTCTGTTTAATTAAAGAAAAATAACTGCTGAACCTATTTAATGTATATAGCATGGAGAACCATAAATTCATTTTAACTGCGCCGATGTCCAGGGTTATGTGCTTTGTTGGGTTTAATTAACCCCCACATCGGATGTTGCAGAATTTAAGTAGGACTATATTGTCTTTCTTTCCAACTTGTGTTTGTCCTCATTGCTTTTTTATTAATTCTGTTTTAGTCTGTTTTATCGGCTATTTTCCTGTAAACTGATTCTTCCCCTGAGCCGTGGAGCTCTGCAGCTCCTCCAGAGTAACCGTGGGTCTCCTGACTGCTTCCATTTGTCCGCTTAGGTTGACAGTATTGTTCCCTCTAAGCTTTTCAAACTGCTCGTGCATTCTTAGCACACAAGAAGATCTATGCAGCGCATAAAATAAAGTCCAACATAAACTCTTAAATTATTTAAACTAATTACATTATTTCTGTATTATTCTGAATCTGAACCAACAATGAAAATAGGAGAATACTGAAAAAAGAAATGTAATGTAAAGAAATTATTTTTGCTTTTCATACTAAATTAATATATTAATAATAAATGAATAGGAAATACGTTGATCTTTATAATCTCTGTCACTAATCAAATTAATCAAATCATAAACAGCATCCAGAAAGTTCTTAAAGGGGCATATATGGACAACTGTTGGAGAAGGGAAAAGGATAGGACATGAAAAATGTGTTTGTTGAAAAACAATCCACTGGACTTTGTTTTCAAGTTGGAAGACGTTTGGCTTCCCATCCAGGAAGCTTTTTCAATTCAAAATGTCAGAAATAGCGTTGAGTTCGAGCCTTTATAGAGTGGACAAAAAAACAAAGCCTTGTTTTCACAATTTATTGTGCAAAAATTGAGCGTTTAAAAAACAAAGTTTCTGAAAGGTGTAACATCTCATTTCCTCCAGAGCAGGACCCTCACCGTAGCCAAAGCAGCACTCCTACATAGACTACACATCTCATTAACAACTTTTTTATTCGGCCAGATCAATGAAATTATAACTAAACTGATAGAAATTGCTTATTTAATTTGTGGGTAGCACTGTTGCCTTGCAGCAGGAAGGTTCTGGGTTTGATTCTTGGCCTGTGGTCTTGCATGTTGTGCCCTTGCATGGGTGGGTTCTCTCCGGGTACTCCGGCTTCCTCCCACAGTCCAAAAACATGAGCAGGTAAATTGGCTTCTCTAAATTCTCCCTAAGTGTGTATGCATGGTTGTGTGTCTCTGTGTTGCCCTGCAACAGACTGGCGACCTGTCCAGGCTGGACCCCGCCTCTCGCCTGTAGGCTGCCGGAGATAGGCACTGGCTCCACCGCGACCCTGGAAAGGACTAAGTAGGAGAAAATAGATAGATGGATGTAACTAGTAATGATCCTGGGTTTATAATAAGTCTAATCATGGTGTGTGGCTTCAGTGTGAACATCTGATGTTGCTCACAGTGGTCCTCAGTGAACTCAGGGAGCATATGTGTCCTGTATGCTCAGACATGAGAAATTAGAGGGAACTTCATTTTTTCACCAATGTTCTTTAACAAACGGACGTCTTTAAACTAGGATTAAATTACATGCAGGTAGACTAAGTTTTCTGATTAGAGGACTCCTGAAGCCAGTTTGGTTTAACTGGATTGTATTTAGAGGTATCAAATTACCGTAATAGGGGATGAATGCAAAGGTACCTCACACCTCTAAGGATTTTATTCTTTTTGTTGCCTGAATTTTTATAACCATATATTAAAATGTGCAGCTGCAGTGAGGCTGAATGTGAAAAAGTCAGAGGGGTGTGAATATTTTTGCTTTTTAGCTATCAGGCCGAAAAGCTGCTTCGTTTCATCACATGATGCCTCTCTCCCCTCAGATACACGCCATCCCCTTGCGCTCCTCCTGGGTAATGACCTGTGCGTACGCCCCCTCGGGGAACTACGTGGCTTGCGGAGGCTTGGACAACATCTGCTCCATCTACTGCTTAAAAACACGCGAAGGCAACGTGAGGGTCAGCAGAGAGCTGCCGGGCCACACGGGTGAGGCGCCTTCAGCGTCTGCTTTTAGTTTCCCTCCTTTGGGATGGAACTATATTCTGGTCAGTTATTGGTTTGAGCTGTGACTCCATCAAACGGTTCCATTAAAACAGGAGCCGAGTTTCAGCTTCATGCTCAATATGAGCAAAGGGGCCAAAGTTCCCTCAATGAAACATCAGATAAAGACAAACAGCAGTTTTCATCTTGATTTTTCTTTACAGAAATGTTTTATATATTCTATATATTTTTTATTTAAACTAGTTAATATCAGAACTGCAGTATATAAAAAAAATATGAATAAAAATACAGACACATGAGCAAGCTAAACACTGAGGCCCAATCAGGGCCCCCTCTAGTTTATCCAGTGACCCAAAAATACATATAAATAAATACACATTATTTTTATTCTTTATAATTCATGAACATAAAGTGTTTAATTACAATTGTTTTTTACTTATTTTCTTTCAAAATTATATTTTATTATTTACTTAAATTACTCCCAAAGTGGGGGTTGGGACCCCCATGGGGGTCTGCAGATGGTTTTCAGAATCATTGTGATGTGATTCCTGAGGGCCAAAATTTACCATGAAAAAAGTAAATTCAACAAATTAAACAAATTTTAAAAAGATGCTTATTTAAAAATACATAGAATTACTTTGCTTTATATTTATAAATAATTATAATTTGAAATCATTCTCTGTATTTTTAGGGGTTCTAAAAGCCGTTGCATAGTTGTTTTTTAGAGTAACAGGCTGAAATACTTTGGGACCCTTGATTTAATTCATCATTTCAATTTTTTTATTTATTTATTTATTTTTTTCATTCATCAGGCTGAAGCAGCTGAAAGTACAAAACCTTAATATTCTCTGTGGATTATTCTGATTCTCACTGTGGCCCAGATTACCAAGACTATGCAGCAGACTGATAATTTAAAGCAGAAACAGGAAATCTACCTTCAAATGTTTCAAAATAATAAAACCTTAAATCTAATTTTTCTTTTTTCTGCCCTGATCTCAGGTTACCTTTCATGTTGCCGCTTTATTGACGACAATCAAATCATTACAAGTTCAGGAGACACATCCTGGTGAGTAAAAAAAGAAAAACCTGCAGTTCAAATGAATCCTCGCTGATCAATGACTGACTCCCCCGCCCTCACAGCGCACTGTGGGACATCGAGACGAGTCAGCAGACCACGGTCTTCTCAGGCCACTCCGGCGACGTCATGAGCCTTTCTCTGTCACCTGACCTCCGTACCTTCATCTCCGGAGCCTGTGACGCCTCGGCTAAGCTGTGGGACATCAGGGACAGCATGTGCCGGCAGACCTTCACAGGCCACGAGTCGGACATCAACGCCAGCTGTGTGAGTGTGGTTAGGAAACAGGAAGTAAAACTACGTGGCTTCTGGTTCTGTTGCTCCTGCTCTGCTCTATGGGTCCAGAGTTTGACCAATTGTGGTAAATGTGAGATACTCATGACATCACCTCAAAGTGCTCAGTGAGGTATGTTCACCTTCCCCTCGCTGGCCAAGAGACGCAGATGATTTGGAGCAGATATTGTTTCCTCTTTCTTTAGTTAAAGGATAAAAATTACGTAATGTTTTATTCAGGTCTCAGTTAAAACGAACACAACAAAAATTCAGGCGCCTCTTTCCAGGGTCATATTCTTTTAGTCCTGATCCAGATTTCCAGTGTTGGTGATTCCTCATTCAATACTAGGGAGGCTAATCCTTCCCTGTAAATTAAGTGAAATAATTGCTCAAAGATGCATTGTTAAACTTCATAAATGTAGTCATTAAACTGCATTAAATCTGCACTGAAACAGTTGATTTTATGAGCATGTTGCACATTAATCAGCTGTTTAATCGGCTCTTTGACATGATCTCCCTCCGCTGTGGAGCGGCAGGATGCTGCCTGTCAATCTCTATTAGAAATCCCTGTTGAGGTTTGAGCCTCCATGTTTTAAAGCAACCAGGGTGAAAGTAGAGCCCTGATTGGATAACAAGCAAAAATCCGTAACGTCCAGTGAGGCTCTTAAGGGGTCTATAGAGCAGGGGTGGGCCGGGTTGTGAAGCTGGCTGCTTGATGCTGATTGGCAGAACACGCTAACAGATCAGATGGAGGGGAGGCTTTCCTCATGAGACTCAGACGGAAGGAAAACACCATCATTCAGTTAGAACGGTGATCTTGTGCTGATCTCTTGCCGTGGTTTCTGAAGTTTTTCATTTCAGAGTTCTTCACAACGGCTATTTTCACTTATTGTCATAATGTTTGTGTTTCAGCCTTCATTAATACGGTATGTAAGATTGGATTTAACTGACCCTATTGAGCCACCTCCTGATTTAGAGAGCAGCATCTGCCTCTGATTTCCAGGTAGGAATGTAGAGTGATGGAATCTTTGCCTTTTGGCTCAGCTCTCATTTCACCACATCAGATAAATCAGTCTGTCCACCTCCTCACCCCTCACTCAGCAACAGGACCCCAAGATACTTGAAATCTTCCACTAGAGGCAGGAACGCTCCCCTGACCTGAAAGGGACAGCCACCCCTTTCCATTGGAAAATCAGGGAACTAACCCCTGGAGGAGCTGATCTTTATCTCAGCCGCTACTCTCTTAGCTGCGAACCGGCCCAAAGAAAGAAAAAATGTTGGAAATGCTGCAATACTGCAATGTGCTGCAAACACATAAATAATGCTTACACACCAAACACGTGCAAAGAAAAAAAATAACTGCAAGATAAGAAAAGCAGCAAACCTGCACCGCTTAACAAAAGTTAAAAACCAATAGGGAAAGACAATGATCTGTCTCTTAGGAAAAATAGAAATAAGATAAATGTATAAAAAAAAGATTCAAAGAAAAAACAAAACGTTTATATCCTTCTCTTTTTCCACTGGACGGCTTCCCATTTATGTATTAATGTCAATGGTGGTCCCTTATGGGTTGATCATCTCCCCCTGGTGGCTTGGAGCACTTTATCTATCCAACCTTTTGAATTTGTGAAATTGTGTATTTGCTCACCTGGGCCACCGTACTTCTCAGCGTAGAGCCAATGCCACAATTTTGAGTTTTAATTTTTTTGCTCCATAGTAAGCTCATCTTATTTAGCAAAGAAACACGTAAAAAAAAATGTGTGCTATCCAAATTCATGTAGAAATTAAATGGTGGTTTTGCACAGAAGATGGTGGCTTAAAGCAGTGATTCCCAACTAAGGGAATTAGCACCCCTAGTGGTCCACCAATGTATTGCAGGGGGTATTTAAAAAAGTGAATATTTTACTTCCCAGTAAAAGAAATAGAATAAATTAGGGCTGCGATGGGTTTTGCTCTCTAAAGACCCAAATGCACAATAAACCAAGATTTATCAACCAAAAAGATAAAAACAAATGTCCTAATCAAAAGTCTTAATGAAAGTGGGTATCGGTGCTTTGATCCTGCACTACTTCTCTGCGAGTGAGAGCAGGAAGACGGGGGCAAAGACAAAGGTCACAAGAGGAGAACGCAGCAAAGCAGCTGCAGTCAAGGATACATTGTTAAAACAAGCCACTACTGGTGATTCGGCGGAACGTCTAGTGTCTCATTAAACAGTGACTGATGAAAACAAAGTGAAAATGACAGTGAATCTGAATATTATTTAGTCAGTTTTATTTCCTGATTTTTCCAGTTTAGATGTGTGTTTAGGGGACTCATTGAGAATGGTTCCGTTTTTTGTAAAAAAAAAACAAAAAAACAGATTTTTAACTTAATTTAATTTTTTATTTATTTCAGTAATTATTCACTTTCCAGGCAAAAAATATATATATATATAATTTTTTTTATTCTAATTGAAAAGAATGATACGTCTGAGCATTAAATGTTCAAGTTAAGGATTATAAATCAACAGAAATCTTAGTTCCTTTTCATTACAAACTTTAAACTGAGAATGTCCGATTGATGCCACACATTTGCATGTTGCAGGATTATCACCATATAATTCTGCAACATGCAACCTCAGGCCCTCTATTCCTCACCTATTCAGCCAGGCAGACAATTCCCTTTAATGACCCCCTTTCAGAGACATAGACAGGTATGGGGTATTGCAGGCTAACAAAAGAAGCCAAACGTCCCCCATTCCAAAGGGGTGGACCCATTCCGTCCGTTTCATTTTTCATGTTTCTTTGCAAAAACAAGATTTTTTGGGGGCTACTGTATAAAGCCTAAGACTCAACGCTATTTCTGACATTTTGAATTGAATAAGCTTCCTGGATGGGAAGCGAAATGTCTTCAAACTTGGAAACTAAGTTGCTTTGATTGTTTTTTTTTACTTTTTTGGAATATGACCTGGATGAGTGAGAGTATTCGCCAGATTATCACCAGAGCATCTGTATGTTCTGGAGATTTTCAGCCAAAGCCAAAGGCTGTGTTTAGACCTGATCACCGTCACTGATCTGATTCAGTGACAAACATTCAGAGGGTGTAGAAAATATAGAGGTTATTTCCCTTCGTGTATATTCCAAAGGTTATTCAGCCGCTTATTCTCCGTTATTTTCCCAGTTCTTTCCAAACGGAAGCGCCTTCGCCACGGGTTCCGACGACGCCACCTGCAGGCTGTTCGACCTGCGCGCAGACCAGGAGCTCAGCATCTACTGCCACGACAACATCATCTGTGGCATCACCTCCGTGGCTTTCTCTCGTTCCGGCCGTCTGCTGCTGGCCGGCTACGATGACTTCAATTGCAACATTTGGGACGCCATGAAGGGAGACAGAGCAGGTGGGCAGAGAAACATGCAGCTGAGGGCTTAGATGCAGCATAAAAAGTCTGCTGAATGAAGGATTCATGACTAAAAATTCAGCCTCATTAATCATGGTGGAGTGTGTGAATGCGTGCCGCAAGGCTTCCTACTTAGTCCACAAAGTTTATTTATTAGCACCCCTGGTAAAGATGTAAAAACCCACAAGGAGGAACTTATTTTTACTGAAACAAAACAAACTCTGTATTTAATTTAACTATAATTAATAATTTATTTCTAAAGTAGGATTTTTTTTTTTTTTATCAAAACCAAACTGGTTGCCTTCATCTTTAAATGTATTTGAATGATTATTTTGATTCCTGCTCAACTTTATTTTAGTTAGATCATTGTTTCTACGATTTTCTAAACGGGGAGCCATGATTTTCTGTCATGATGTATAAATATGAATTTTCTTGCAAGCAATGTTGGATGAGGAAGCTAAAAACAATCATGAAATCTCACCATGAATGGCTGCAGCACAGAATAGCAACCGTTGGATTTGATCTACATGCAAACTGCTAGTTTGGAGGGTGTACCTGGAAAAAAGTGGTTTTCCTGTCGATAGATCTGGTCTGGTATCTGTGATGCTGTGGGCCTGTTTCTCTTAATAGATCTCATAGTATCATGAATTATTTGAAATTCCATGATAGTTTGAATAGAAATCAGGTAAACAGAACACAGGTCTTCACTTAATACAGTAACTGATCACCAGAGAGTGGGGAAAAAAGTAGAAAACCAGTTTCCATGATCTTCTCAGTCCTATGACTAAAATCTTGCAGAAAACAGGAAAGAGGTATTCCATTGATGATTAGAAAAAAAACACAGCACTGTTTAATTTACCACCACTGTTTATTTTTACAAAGCTGTAAAAATACTAGTAGAAAAAGCTTTAATAATTTGCAGATAACTATGACTGACATGTATCTGTTACTATAAGAAGAATGTTTCCATTAATCATAATTAAAGGGATCCATGACTAGAGGAGCATTTTGGCTTAAATACATTTTCATTTTTCTATTAACTTAAAAATTGATGTTTGTGATCTGTAAAAACTAATTTATTCAAAAATTATAAATCCCTCGTTATTTTTCACCTATGGAGGTCGCCATTTTTTTGCCTCTGCAATGCATGCTGGGTAAATGATGCAGTAAGGTCTGACTGGATGGGAACCTACAGGAAGGCTAACATTAGCAGAGCTGTTTTTTATACTATTTCTTTTGACCCGTGCAAATTCAGACAAAGCAACAGTGCATCACTGCCGCAGAGTTGTCATGATCCGTCATACATGAGGTATCTGTTAAAACAAATAAACGTGATCTGCTTGTGTTCTACTGTTTACCATCTTAGGTAGAGATAATACCATTAGCAGGAGCTATTGTGAAATCAAAATAACATCTGAAGATAATTAATGACTGTTTAAAGGGACAGTCTTTCAGTCGTAAAACATCTTTCAAATATATCTGAGAAAATGGTTTGATCGTGATGCTAACCGCTAACAGCCTCAGTTACAAACTGGGGTTCGTTTCACGAAGCAGGTTGAACAAACTCAGACTAAAATCAGCAACTTCAAACTGATCTAGCCTAATGTCAGAACCGGAAAGAGTTTTTGGGTTCACAACAGCTGCTATGAATTAGTTCAGTCAACTCTAATTAGGTCCACTCAGAGTTAAGCGCATGTGTGACAAGTTTAAAATGCCATCATCAGTGAAGCCCCGAATGACGAGTCACCATGACAACAGGCAACAAGAAGTGCCTATTTCACCCCACTGGAACTAGAGATTTTAATTAAGACGGAGAATGTGTTTAAAAAAACAGAGAAACAGTGCTACAGCAGCAAAGGAGAGGAAGATAGCGGAGGATAAGATAGTTGCTCAAGTTAATGAGTAGGTTTATTTGAATTTTTTTTGAAGTTTTTACATTTATTAAAAGCCATCTCCCCTCTGTTGTTCATTTGTAGATTACTAAAATAAGATTCTTCCTGATATAAATCACATACCTAGATTGAACTGTAATGATATATAGTCTACATTACATTTATATGAATTTCAGAATATGAAATTATACTAGTAAGAATTAAGTTTTATATACCTAGATATGTTTATACATTTTAAGTGGCCATTCTGAAATTTATCAGCTTGACTGAATGATATCTGGAATACATTTCTTTATAGTCAAAATAATTCAAATTCTGACCAGTAACAATTGGAATATGGAGAACTCAAATTAAATTTTAGACATCCAGATTGTTTATTCTAGATGTGAGGGATGTCATTTAGTTTGAAATGGTCATTTTGACAGGAAAAAAATGTTTTTTTTTCAGATATCAGGAATACATATGAAAATACATATACAGTAAAATTAATACATATCAAACCAGCTTGCTATATGCTGTTCTCACAGGCTATAGGACCTGTTCATCATGTCATGGGTTCTCAGTTTGATTCTGTCTTCCATAAATACTCAGTGACTGTTTGCAGCTGCTTCGAATGTTATCATCCCAATAAATGGTCATTATTAGCGGTTATCAGTCCCATAGAATAGCTTCAGAATGTGCCAGTAGGCTCATTGGGTTGTTTTCACTAAAGTAGTTTCTTTCCTACCCTGCGGAGCTTTGTTACTCTATTTATATGTAATCTGAAAATATTTTTAAGTTGTTCCAGAGCCAGTGGGGGGAGATGAAAAACCCATAAATCGTTTCAGAAACACCCAGATTACCTTCACAATCACTTAGATGGTAAAAAAAATAAGGTTGCTGCTTTGAAATTGCAAGTTTATTAATACCAGCATAAGGTTTGTCCCATTATTGAAAGGTTCATAAATAAAAAAACAAAAACGCTTTGCTACTGTAGTGTCTTTGTGTCCCCCCTGCAGGGGTCCTGGCTGGCCATGACAATCGCGTGAGCTGTCTGGGCGTGACGGACGACGGCATGGCGGCGTGCACCGGGTCCTGGGATAGCTTCCTAAAGATCTGGAACTGAACCGCGCACATCGACTGGAAACACAAGCACGTCTAGCATCCCTGCACACACACAGTTCCTGACATTATGCCCTCCGTACCGATACTCTAAGACTTAAAACAGCCAAACAGCAACATTTTACTGTACATATTATAAAACATCGTAGGTGCGAGTTTACCCACCCACCCCCTGCACATCCTGACCCACAATGCTTTGAATAGATGACATAAAATAAACACACCTCTACATACAGAGTAAGTTTTGTTCCATTATTGCTGCAAAAAACACTTTTTGTGATTGGAAATTTTGAAAATATAAAAAATAAATTTAGGATCTAGAAATAAAACTTTGAAAAATGTCAAAATCAAAAATGGGTTTTGAGCACAACTTGGGTTTTTTTCTTTTATGTTATACAAGTTTTTATCTAAATTGTTCTTTTTCAGATTGAATCTTATGAATGGCCTTCTTTTCAAATGATATTTACAGATCCAGTCTCTTTATATCAATCCCAATATAAATATTTTTGCTAACGTTCATGCAGACAAATAGAAATCGGTCTTTGCTCCTCATTCAGAGGAAAGCCCCAAAGGGAAGAGAGAATATGATTCATAAAAGACAACTGGAAAGAATGCAGTTCATTAAATCCAATCTGAAAAACATCAATTAAAAAAAAATATAAAATTGAAAACATTAAATTTGAAACTTTTCCTTTCTGATATCATTTTTATTTCATTTTAATAAAAAAAACATGTTCTATGCTTTTAATAATAGTGGAACTAAATTCACTCCATACCTTCATTTACCCACTGCTGATTTAAATACTCAGCAAAACCTGTTTATATCAAATGTGACCAAATACAGCTGAAACATCAGTTGCTTGAATGAAAAAAAAAATGTAAAAACCTCACAGGAATCACCTTTACCTAAAGCCTTTTAAACACATCTGACACCTAATTCACACATTTCAAACGCTGCTCCTCCTGAAAGAGAAGATCCCCCAACGGACGGTTCTGCCTTTGTTTACAGCGAACTTCATCTTCTTTCCATGGTCATACGACTTCAGCACCACCGGAGGGGCGAAGGAAGGATCTACAGCCGCTCCACTGAGGCTGCTCAGATCCTCTGGTCATGCTTTATAGATCTGTACGCCCAACATGCTAGATTTTAGTTGAATTTTGTTTGTTTTTTGTTTATTTTATGTGTTTTATTCATGTTTTCCCTGTGTGCCTCAGATACACTGAAAATGATAGATAATAACCGGGTAATTTCAAATGATCTTGGATGACAGCAGGATAAATGACAGCCTACAGAAAGCCAGTATTCAAACTTTAAATCTGTCATTGATTATTTGGAAATTACCACAGCATAACTGTACATAATACTAATAAATAATAGCCTCGCCTGAAAGCTGTCATGGTTTCTTTTGGTGATGAATCATTTTCTGCCATTTGTTCCCCTAACTGTTATTGTTGCCTTCAGCCACAAGGGTGCGCTGCACTACTTCATGTGTGGAGAGTCATAGAAAGGGCAACCAGTGAACTGGAGGGATCTGCATTCATCTAAACTTCATTATAAACAGAATTTTATTTCATAAATCACACTGTTTAGGCTCAAAAAGACCTGACCAATCACAGCTCTTTCCTGTCATAACAGTCTTAGTTTATTGGTGCCATTTATTTTGTCCCAAAAGAATTATATTATATTATATTGTTAGTTTAGTGGCTGCTGTCAAAGCTCTTCTATTAGAAGGTTTTGAGTCACATCCGTAGTTATCAGATTATAAACCGTTTCCACTGTTAATAGTTATTTAGACCCAGAGCTTTTCTGAACATCTTATGTCAATCTGAAACAACGCATTTCTTACAAAGTTAGCATTGCTAGGGTCATAATATGCTGGGAGAAACTGCATATAATTTAAGATATAACTATATACTATTTTAGACTTTAGCCCTTTTAATGCAATATTTTATTGTGTATTTACATATAGGTGACTTTGAAAACAGATAGATCGATTGATAGAGCAGTGGTTTGTGTGCAATTGTTTTAAATATCCCAGCAACTTCGAAGTACATCTTCAGGGAGCCATCTTCAGCCGCCATCTGTGACGATACTGGATGGTTCTGCTTGTATCAGTTTGAACAAAAAGGCCCCCGCATCCCTTTCCTATTAATTCAAACTAATCTGGCAGAGATGGTGGAACAAAGAATTTAAGAAAAAAAAAAAAAAAGACAGAGCAAACAGACCAAAATGAGATCAAGATTTTATTTTTCAAACAATCTGGATTAAGACATAAATTCATTCAGCACAATCTTTTTAAAGTTTATAGGTGTATGTGATACAATCTGAAGTTAACCTCTTACAAGTAACACAGATGAGGGCACATTGGAAAAAAAAAAACACAAAAAAAAACAGGATACTGACAAAAATTTATATTATGGTTCTATCAAAATCCTGATTAGGATTTTCCAATAGCATTCAAATAAGCCCCAGAATTCAATAATTTTTTTACCTGAACATGAAGTCAGGTTCTGACACTTAGGTTACCAGAAGGTGATTGTGTTTAGCCGACAGAAAGAAACTGCCGTTTCTCTTCCAGATAGAAGAAAATGTTTTAAACAAACAAGCCTACGTTTCTTCTGCCAAAAAGATGAACCGCACCGAGTTGAGATTAGTTGAGATATTGCTTATCAAACAAAGTCCTTTCAGGTTAATAAGTCATTCCGCTTCCAGGACCCGGCTCAGTTCTACCCGCCTCAGGTGATGCTCTAACATTTCAGGGGTAAAAACGATAAAACCTAAAAAGATGGAGTCCGGTTGTTTTATTGGTGCCTCAGGAAAACCCAACAGAACTTTTACTCGTTAAGGTGCTTTTTATGAAAACTGTTTAGGAAAAACCAGCTTATAATTGCAGACAATTAAAAGTTTGGATCTGGATGATCGGCAGGACAGATTAAGAATCTCATCATACTGAATGCATCAAAGTAAAGATTACAGCGTTTTAACATCTGATGTACAATTTGAGTAAAAAAAAAGCAAATGCTTTAGTTTCCTTCATTTGTAAATTAAAATCACTTCCATCAAATAACTTCACTGACATAGTTCTTGAAGCAAATAAAAATGTACAGAAGCCGCCATGAATAAGGTTAGCCTGGGGATTTATTTGAGGTGACGCCGACCGAATAAGACCTTTATAGACTTCAGTTTTTACAGAAATTATTCATCAGGCCTGGATTTAATTTGCTAGTTTAATGATTTATAAACCAAGATATTTTTACAATTTTACACCTATTGTCCATTCTATGAAGGCACCCCTCCCATTTTAAAGTCGTGGCGACTTTTGTCAGAATGTAAAAGGCAAAAGTCCAGTTTCCTACCAGGTTTTCAGGCTGTTGTCTTCAGTGTTAAAGCAACACTATGCCACTTTTAGTCACCAGGGGGCGCTTGACTTCTAACTTTCAGGTTTTACTGTTTTGGAATCAGACTTTCTGATGCAGTTCAATGTAAAGACGAGGCCACATTCATTCCTCTAGATTAGAAAACTAAAATTATGTCTAATCAGGCCATATGTATTTGGTTGACTAACAATAACTGTTAGCTCAGTTAGCTAAGCTAACTAATGTCTAAGGTGAGCTCAGACTGCTGTAAGGTAGTGCCCATTCAGTGATCGTCTCATCGTTATGCATCAAAGGCTGAATATTGACCTGAAAATCATTTAAAAGTTGTGCAGTGTTGGCTTTAACCAGCGCAAACAAACAAAAAATCCCATTACAGATTTTATTTGATTGAACTGGCCTCTAAAAAGTACATTTTAGAAAATATATTTCACACTAACATAAAAACATTTTTGTACTTAAAGTATTTAAAGCACTTATCCGATCGCTGTACCCCAGTCATCTTCCTTCCTTCCTTCCCTCGTGACGATCACCTGAGAAGATCAACTTCCTGACAGCTCATTAGCGACCTGAGGCCAATTAGCTGTACGTAAGCCGCTCTGAGCTGAACTGGTCTGTTCATACGATGCAGCAGCTAAAAACTTTCTTTATCATAACTTTTCTGTCTGATTTTATGCTGACAAACTCAATGACTGAGAAAAAAGGGGGAAAACCTGTTATGCTAAGTTATATAATGAAGTTGTGCTTTGAATAATAGTGTGGAACAGATTTCTGTACAAATGCAAACCTGTTTTATAGATGTACATTCACTTTTATTCCTTAATACTAATTTACAAATTTTATAAAATAAGCTTTTTAGAATATAACAAGCTACTCTGCCTACAAGGTTACACAATCAACGTCACTGAAGAATAAGCAGTCATTTGATCTGTGCTGCATGAATCTACACGTCCCACGCACACATACACACGCACACATACACACACATGCAGTTTCACTTGATGAGTGTGCAAAAACCAAGGGGTTTTCTCTATAAACACATGGCTATTCTCTATGCTGGCTCCCAATGCGGGCGGATTTACGACACGTCACATTGGGCTTTAGGAACGCGTCATATCCCATTTGTTATTGCCACTTTCTGATTGCGTTTCATTTGGAGTTTATTTTTGGCGCCAAGAAGGCATCTCAGGTTAGGTTTACCTACAGTAGGGGATACACTGGATTATCTATTTTTATTAATTAAGTGCACTTAACTGGCACCGAATGTTAACAATGAAGCTTCCGTCTTTAGAGACGAGGGTCTGGGCTAAACTTTTCCTTTAGACTTCTCACTCTCCCTTCTCCAAGGCACTGCTTTAACTGTAAACATGATGGCAGACTGATTGAAAGAAAGAAAAAGTGCCAAAGCTCTCTTATTTGTAGTAAATCTGCAGTGTAGCCATGGCACCCAAAAGATACAGCTTCTCATTCAGAACGAAACCATCGGGTTTAATGGTTTACATGCACACTGAAGGATGTGGCTTAGAAGGATATCCATTTGCAAAGCGAAGAGAAAGTGCTCTCCGTGTCATATTTATATATTTCTTCCTGTACAATAAATCCTCTATATAATATTAATCTTAACTTTAACTCCAACAAGTTCTGCTGTCTTTATAGCTTCCTCTCTAACAGTACATCTCAGCCTGAAGGCCAAGCTGCAGAGATTCCCACTGATTACTAATCAAGGTTCCTTCATAATATCCCAAAGGTTTTCATGCTGGTGCAGAAAAGAAGCGCCCCATTTATCCAGTCAGAGGATGGTTCGTAAAACCAGGGTGATACAACCTGCTGGAGACGTTGATCCAAACTCTGACAGCTCAGAATGCATTATTATTATTATCTTATATTTAGATGCACAATTAAAAGCTATCTTAACATTAAGTTTCAAAACAAGTCAGCTAACATGGTCTAAATTATAGGAAAATTTTGTTAAATTATTGCTGCAAAGAACAATCCAGACGTTGACTTTGAAAAACTTCTGTAACAAAAAATAGGTTTTGGAATTACCTTTGCTGGTTTTTAGATTTATTTTAATATTTTATATCTGAATTTTTTTAAATTCAAATTAAGTTTTAGGAATTGCATTAATTTCAATTTCCCTTTTACGGATTACATTTGCTTCACTTCTGTGGCGTAACTTTCCTCTATAATGAGGAAAGAAGATCCATTTCTGTTGGTGTGCATCGACGTTCGCAACAGTTCTGTTGGTGTGCATCGACGTTAGCAACATTTCTGTTGGTGTGCATCGACGTTAGCAACATTTCTGTTGGTGTGCATCGACGTTAGCAACATTTCTGTTGGTGTGCATCGACGTTAGCTACACTTGCATTGGTCAAGAGCAGCAAAGTGAAGATAATGTGATCTGTGAAAACTCATTCTGAAAAGAACACACTTCTTAAAATGATCTAAAGCAGCGGATCCCCAACCACCGGGCCGCAGACCGGTACTGGTCCGTCGGTCATTTGGTACAAGGCCGCACAGAAAAAAAATAATTAAAAAAATAAACAAAACATTGGGGTATTATCTCCCCATCACATCAGTCGGTGCATCTGTGCCTCTTGACACAGGTTAATTCAGGTCAAGACGAATCCTATCTATAACATCCTATCTTTGTGAAGCGGGATTTTCTGCAGTTACAGCGACCAAAACAAAGCGACGGAGCAGACTGGACATCAGGAGCACACTTTGTGTGTCATTGTCCCGATTACGCCTAGATGGGACCAGTTCGTTTCAGAGAAACAAGCTCAGTGTTCCCACTAATTCAACATAATGGTGAGTTTTATTTTTATGCTGTTTATATTTGATTTTATGCCAGTCGTATCATTTTATTTGATCGTATTTACCCCCACACACTTTAAAGGCCGGTCCGTGAAAATATTATCTGACATATAACCGGTCCGTGGCGCAAAAAAGTTTGATCTAAAGATTAGAAATGTAAAAAAAAACATTGCGAAAAACTGAAAAAAAAAATTTTAAAAAAATAAAAAAGAAAAAAAAGGACAAATTTTTTTTCAAAAAAATACATTCTAAGAAAGCAGCAAAGTTATTCTCAAAACTCTTTTCTGATAATGATTGTTAAAAGTTTCATTTCTGGACTGCTTTTTTATTTCATTTAATAAATTTAATATTTGCTTTCAAAAATAGTGGGACAAACTTTACTCCATAACATTGCTTAGTGATGTATGGGAGTCCTTTTCTCCAAAGATTCTTTTAAGGTTCTGCTTTATTTGGCCTCTTTTTCCTCTGCCCCTCCAACACGTCTTATGAACTTTGGCAGAATGTAAATACATATCATGTTTCATGGGTTACACCCATGTTTTCCAAAGTGCCTGATAAGCTGAAAAGAAACTGCTCAGATTTGAACTACTTCACAAAGAGCAGTTCGGCTGCTCACACAGATTCTCTCACACAGATTCACACAAACCAAACTGTTGAAGGACTAAAATACGATGCAGCAGAGTTGATCGCTGACGGCGGGTCGACCGCCCTCATTTCCTCTACCTCCGCTTCCTAACTCCGCATCGCGTACAAACTCTCCTCTTCAAAAACACTCCACAAAAAGTAGAATATATTGCAATACAATGGCATTAAAAGTACAGTGAAAATGAAGAAAACCAGTAGCCTAGTACTATTACAGAATCACTACATATAAATAGTAAATTTGTAAACCTATGAAAGATGGATAGGAGTTAAAGGAAGATGGTTGTCTCTAAAAATCAAAAAAATAAATCAAAGCAGGACGTGTTTCCCTTCCGATTTTGTTCTCACTAGAAAAAAAAAAAAGACTAAGTATGTTTATCGTTTATTTTGAACCAAAATTTATTGATATTTTTAAAAGATTCATGGCCTGATTGCTGTGACAAAAAACAGGATTTACAAATATCAAGAGTACTTAAAGCCTCTAGACCTCGACTTGACTAATCTTCCAGGTCAATCTTTATACGTAGCAAGAACTCAGTGAACCGCTAAATATTAAGGAGGGTGAACAGCGGTTCATCGACTAGAAACAGATTCTAGCTCAAACCTTATTGACTTTGAAACACAGCTTTTGTAAAATGATGCCCTCCTCAAACATAGGAATGTTAAACATACGTCACAATTAGAAAGAATCCAAACTAAAGACAGTAACTAAATCAAGCTAGGATATATATTCACAGTCCAGACTAATCAAGGATATTAAAATTTAAATCTCATCAGCGATTTTTTTCATGTTTATTCCAAGTAGAGTGTCGTAGGGGGTTTGAGAAAAAAACTGCATCTTAAGGAGTGTCGGCTGGAATGGATTTAGAGGTTGTTTTTTTGCTGTGTTGTTTTGTTTTATCTTGTTGCTGTGTGAGCTCTGGATGTCTTTGCTTTTTGTTTAGTTTTTTTGCAGTAGGAGTACATAAGTATGCAGGAGCTTTAGGGTAACAGTAGTGTTTGTAATTGTGTGCATGCTTTAGGGAGAATGTCGGATGCACTGGGCTCTCCGGACCCCTGCTGGGTTCTATGCACTGACCGCAGCAGTGGCCGCTTCACCAGTTCATGATGCAGTTTCTGTTCAGAGTCATGAAGTACACCTGGCTGCTGCCTCCTGAGCGCACCGAAGCGAAAAACACCTGATGAGCAGCACAGACACAAAGGGCGTGATTAGCACTTACCATTGGGAATAACAGCTGACTTCTTTTCATACAACTAACCATGAAAATAAGCAAAAGTGCTGTTCAGGTGAGGCACTGTTTAGAATGGCTCAATACTGCAGGGACTATTAGCTAGATAACGTGATGTGAAGCTTTAGTTGCAGCTAAATGTCTTTAAATGATTTGTACCTCCTGAACTCTAACATATACAAAATATTGACCCTTAAATTAAGCAATTAAAGGAGATGATCCATCAATGGAGTGTCTTTACCCTTAAAACAAGAAAACAGGATATTTTCCACTTACAATGAAATAAAATTGGTCATTTTTCTTTTTGTTAAATAATTTTAATCTCATTCGCCTGCTAAAATGTATTGAAAATAAGATTTGAGCAGGAGTTATAAAGGAAAGTTTATAAAGCATGATTCAGTGGCAAGACAGTTGAAAGTGCTGCACAAGTGGGAAAAAAAAAGGAAAAGTACAATACATTAGCGTAGAGGTGACTAAAAGCAGTGAAAGAACTACAAAATCAAGTTTGTATAGGTTAAAGACCGAGGAAGATCAGTTTCCACCATAAAGACCTGAAAGGAGCTACAATAGAGACTTGGATCAGGAAAGGAATTGGAAACTGATCTTCACAGATATAAATCTATTGGAATCGAGACTGAGCTATAAAATTTTAACATGCAAAACAACATTAAAAGAAACCTAAACAACAATGTCTGGTTCACAGTCATGGCCTTTGTCTGAACGTACGTCCTACCTCTTAAATCCCTAAATCACTATATAGAGCAGGGACTATATAGTGGAATTCATAGTGAACTCTGGTAACTTACTATTTAGACTGGTGATCACTACTTTTCACTCCTGCTTGGTCACGTGACTCCGCCTCCCCACATGTTGCATGCACCATCTTTGTTCTTTCTTGGCCCCAAAACAAATCCCATGATGCTTTGCGAGGAGAGCTCTCCTCACTAAGCACTCTGGGATATATCTGCTCATCTAGTGACCATGGATGATCACTACTTCTCAAGGTGCCTTGTAGGAAATTTTGAGTCCACTGTCACTACCCGATCCATAACATCAGCTCATTTGCGCAACCAGAAACATTCGGGTCATCCTCGATTTGATTTTATAAAAAAAAAAAAACTAAATTATGTTTTTTCCCTCCCCAAAAATAGTAACTGTACAAAACACAATATGTCAATTTAAAACTGGGCAAAACAGAAAGAAAACCGCAGATTATTACAGCAAGCTGAAACTGTTCGCCAGAAGCGGCGGAACAGCGCGGGTCAGGAGGACCATAAAACGCTACGCTCATCTCCTGCGCTGCCAAGTAAAACAACAGACTGACGTAAGTAGCTGGAGTCATCTGTACAAAGAAGCCTATGCAGACTGGGAGACTATTACGAGCAGGCAGAGTGGCAGCCGGTAAGACATTTTCTACTCAATGAAGGTTGGTGTTTGGTTTATAAGTTATTTAAAATATTTGCAATATCCTCTGATTTGTAAAATAATGTATTGATTAATTGATTTATTGTGGAATGTGATGGGTCCTTTTCATATGCAGTAGAGATTTAGAGGTAGTTTGTATAAGTTTATTGTTGGACATCTTATAGAATTAAACAAAACAAATAATTTTAATGATGGGATCATGATATTAACATTAAAACTAAAACAACTAAAATGCAGATAAACATGATTTAATTATATGTTGCCGGACTACTCTGAGCATGTTTAACAGAGAAAATGGAAAAGTATCAAAATTGTCTCAGCAAAATCATTTTTAAAGATGTGTATCAGCGTTCTTTAGTGAGTTAAGGATAGAAATAAGTAATTTTAGTACCGTACTTACATTATTTATGGAAACCTGGATGTATATCTGGTTGCACAACTGAGTTGACAGGAAGGATTGTGCTTCCGGGATGGATTGGGTAGTGACAGTACACTACTTTTTCATCGGCTGGACATTCAGACACTCATAAACTGAGTAACCACTATATAGTGCTCCATGTCGGGGTGGATGTTTGGACACAGCATTTGTTTCCCTTTTACCTTGTCATTTCTTTCACAAAGGAACTTCAGTCTCTGAGCTCTCTTGTGCATGAAGACCCCGTCCAGGTGGCCAGTCTCCACAGATCGGATCTCTATGGCCTTTTCCCCCCAGCCCATAATCTGGTTCGAGCAGATATGAGCTGCAAAGGATAGAGACAAATTAGCAATCAGACTGCAATTAGTTATAAAGAGGGTTGGATTTGAGGCGTACCAACAGATGTGGGCATCTCCCCCCACTGCAGGACCACGTCCTTTATTATACGTCCATAGGTGTTGACATAAACCCCTTCGTCCTCGTAGCAAAGCAGCATCTCCATGCCGTCAGAGTTGGGGAGGAACACGATCGCGTGCGGGGTCACTTGGCTCTGGATCTGTTTGGAAATGAACCACCAAGTTATGAGCTGTCAGGAGGTCGCACAACAAGAAGTAAGGCTTAACAACTAACATGAACAGGGACGTAAATATCATAGTTGTTTCCAGAGTCCACGTCGATAGCGTGAAACCCAGCGCAGGAACCGTAGATGACCTTCAACCTCTGGCCTTCTTCTACTGTCAGGTCGACCAGCACGGGCCTATGTGGCAGGTCTGCAAAAGACTGGTTTAAAGGGTATTTGGGAAGCACAAAGAAAATTAGGAGGAAACATTAAAAAAAGAACACCTTCCCTGACTGAATGATCTTCAGAATTTGATCTCATAGGAACACAGAGCCCTACCTTGAAAGCCATGAATTTATGATAAGGTTTGGGTGCCCAAGCATAAACCTCCACCGCGTTCTTTAAAGCAATCACCAGGAACTTTATCCTCTCGTATTTCACTAGGCAGAACAACAGTAAGGCCCACTGGGATTAGACAATCAATCACTAATTCACCATGCTACACGTAATCCCCGTCATCTCTAAGGGGAAGTTAAAGATGGCCGACAACCCTCTGAAACTCACCCACTTTGTAGTGAACACAGCCCTCCATTTCCCCCACAGTGGTCCAACCTTGCTTCTTTTCCACCTCCGGGTCGTTGTGGAGGATCTTATTCCTCAGCCATGCCAGGTAGTACACACGTACCTTGTTCTTCTTACCTTCAAAACAAACAAGAACCTTATCAAAGAGCTATTAAATGTGATTGGAACATGGAAGAGAACAGTCTGCAAAAGTCTGCATTTAAAAGTTGGAAATGTGGAACGCTACTGTAAGCAAAGCAGACATATTTTTAGTTATTTATTTATTTTTTTTGGAATGCACATTTTGCCAGCATTAAAATCGCGCTGATCTCTGCATGTCTTCAGATGGCGTGTACCATCACTAGCCGACATTGGGGCTGGGCGATATGAAAAAAATCTGATATCACAATATAGTTAGCTATAATCACGATATATATCATATGTTTAAATTACATTCAAAAACAATAGAGTGCATAAAAGCTACACTGATATCCTTATTTAAACTTTTGGTTTCAAATTTTAATCTTTTAGTTTAACCAGCTCAAAACTTTTCTGCCATATGATGTCTATGGGTGTCAGTATTAGAACTTTAACAAGATCCAAGCAACTAAACATGGAGGGAAAAAAAAAAAAGAAAAAAAAAACACCCCACACAATACTAAATAATCTGCTAAATAAAAAAAGGGATATTTTGTGCATGATTAAAAAAATGCAGAATGAAAAAAATAATTTGACCTCAAATTACAAAAACAAAAGTGGAACTACTGTCCAAAAATAAGAGCATCTCCAAACTGTTAGCATTGATCTTTACCTGCTGGAAATTTTAAAGAAGCACAAAAAGTTGTAAATTTGACAACATTGTCAAGTTTAGAAAATGGCTGCAAAACCTCTGAAACCGACCACATCAAATCACAGGTATTAGAGCATTTAAAAAACATTTAATTAACGTAATAAATAGCGTCTGTGATTTCCCTCCATCTCTTCCTTTTTTCTCTCCTACGGGATCACTTTTTCAAACGACAAGGCCAACGTCATCGGCTTCACAACTGATTTATTTAACCTTTTAAACTGGTGTGCAGGGAGAAACTGACATGGAGTTTATAACATTCATTTTGCAGCAGATTACTTTAAAAAAAAACAAGCGCGTCTTAAAAATTTGCGAATTCTTTTCAACGTCCTCTGCGTGAAATCCAAACCACTGCCATATTATTGCTCAGCTGAAACACCTGCTGTCAACCAAATTTCATTTGCCAGTTGCTGTGGTGTGTATGCCATGCAGAAGTGTGCAGGAAAAGTAAAACTCTCAGAGAAAGAGAAGCAGAAAGGTTAATTTCGTCATGTGAATTTTTACTCTATGGTTGCGATAGTCATTTTAACAACTGTGTGAGGGGAAACTTAAGATACATCGAGTTATATGATATATCGCCCACCATTAGCCGACATGACAAAGTTATTACATCTTGCTTAATTGCAACTCATTCTATTAAATCTTGCTCCATTACTGATTGTCAGTCCGCGTTAGCCATCCATCTCTACTTCCTCTGCATAGCACGTTACACTTTGCGTCGCTTGGTTAATTAATGTGACGCCAACTGAAAGATCACGGAACTTACATGAAAATGCAAGGCAGTGAAAACAATGGCCAGATAAACTGTGGGCAATTTTAACATAATGAAGCACAATGTTATCAAAGACTTTAATGACACCTCTGATCAGCAAACATTGAGGTAAAGGCAGCAGGAACTTTTCTTTCCATATCAGGTCAGTAAAGTTAGTTTAAGGCAGCAACAGACAAATCAATGTTAAAGCCACACTTTCCATAATTATGGACGCAGTTATGCTAGCTGGGACTGAACTCATGACCAATGCTTTTCAGTTATAAAAGCAGATGAGTGAATATAGTATATAAATGTATTATAATGCAAGAAAATTATGCATATTTTTAAAATCATGTATATAATCAGAATGAGTTTTAACATTTAAAATAAAAAAAAAACATGCTGAATGCCTTCGATGCAGTTTATCACCACACGTGTTTATGATTAATGAGGCAATGCGAGCTTGTTCAAAGCCAAGCAAACAGTGTTATGAAAAAAATGGGAGAAGTTTTTGTTAATTCTTTTAACTTTTAAGCCACACTTTGCCATATCACAAACCCAATCTGTGGATTCTTCTTGGCTGATAACAGGAAGCTTCTATTTCTGGTCAGCCGATTGGCCACAAAAACTAGGAATCAAAAACAAAAAAAACAAAAAGGACTAAATGGTTAGAACTGGTTCTGATAGATTAACTATTCTCGATGCTAAACCCTTTACAGGACCCAGTCAGAGACAAACCTGACCGTATCAAGTTACATAGGTAGGTTTTTGAACAGGGCAGCCTACATGGAGGCTTGATATGCAAGTGCTGAATATAAACCTGAAAAAAGGTCAAAGGCATTGTAGTTTTGCTTTAAATAAATGTGCAAATAAATGAATAATCCAAGTATAAAACAATTTGCAAATCTTTTAAGTGTGTCTTAGGCATTTAGTGTTTTAAGTCAAAATAACTATCTACAGCACATAAATGACACAAACACTAGTCTTTAGTACGGATACCAAGCCAGATTAGTATTGTATCCGAATGCAGTGTTTAGAAAAACATTGAACTCCTAAAAGAATGGATATTTTTAATTAGCAAATTCCTTACATAGTTCTGCACCAAGTCAGAGGAGGTAAAAGTTTCTAAAACATTTTTGCATAGGAACTGTTGTAATTCTGAACCAGATTGTTTTTTTTTAAAACACAACCTGGAATCTGCTGCTGCGTTACCACTTTGAACAGTTCTACTAATGCCTAAGTGTATAAATTAATCAACTTTTTTCCCAGATATAGTTTCAGACATCAGAAAACAATAAAAAGGAAAATTTTAAAAAGGAAACTCACAACGAACACCCTTGCACTCTTCAGTGTGTACGCAACACCCACAACATGTATCCATATATCCATTGCAGATCAATGGAAAAATGTACAAAACTAACAAGAAGCTCCAGGTCAGATGTGGCTACTATGTAGCTTGCCACCATCAGTGTGTGCATGAATAGGTGAATGACTGAATGTAGTGTGAGGCACTTTGGTCTCCTGAGTTGAAAAAGCGCTATACAAGTACAGGCCTTTTATCATTTACCTCAGATAGTAGGAAAAACAACTGTCTGAACAGGGGTCTGAAGAATTAAAAAATGCGTTTCCCTCTTCAGCATCTTATAAAAACATTAAAAGAACAATAATCTCCCTGTTTCAGGTTATTTTCAAATTACCAGGTACTGGTGCGTTTTAGTATTCTTTTTTTGAATTTCCATTAAAAAAAAGCGCAATTTTTGCTCTAAACGATAATGGAACACAATTCACTGCATATTTTCTCTGCAAGTAAAGGAAAGCTGATGCTAACATTTTGGCCAATGATCTCTAAATGTAGCCATCTACAGGTCCATAGGGCTTTATATTGACAACTCATTGGTCATTTGTTGCAATCTTGGTTTCGTGTCAAAAACCGTCTTTTTGGCGCCCTCATCAGATTTGATTAGTCTACTGTGTCCGATTCTATTGGTTCCAATATAGTGATGTCACCTAGAAAAATGGAACTTAGTATTTAGAGACGGTTTTATACCTCACAGCAGCAGAGCTACTATCATTACTAAGTGGAGTTGGAACAGGAAGCTTTGGGATTTTGCTGTTGATTTTCAGGTTAGCAATTTATTAGCTTAAGTATAACTAGCATTTATTAACTAAACCGAACTATGCCCCACCCTAACACCTTTCCTATGCGTTTGGTGGACCAGGCACCGTCTGATTCACAAGACAAGATTTTAAAACTGTCAGGTTTTTTGTTTTTAACTCAGACCCATGACAATAAAATCTGAGATAAAAACAGGCGTGGTACCACTGCATGGTGAGCACAGCAGAACACACAGGAATTTCATGCAAGAATTTCTGACATAAGATTGAAAACCTTACAAAGTCTCAAGGTAAGAGTGAACAAACATGGCCAATGAGCAAGGAGCAGTGGAGAGTGGAGCGGAAATCAGCACAATTATCTTGTCCCATGAACCCAGCATAAGGCTCTGGAACGGGGCTAGTTTTCCTTCGACGGCAGCTGAAGATGATTAAAAGCTATTGTACCCGATATGGTGATGAGCAGGTTGAGCCCCTCCAGAACATCCATCTGCTGGAACCTCCGGGAGTTAATGAGTGGGTAAACTTTTCCTTGACCACTACGGTCCAGCAGCTTCAAGCCATTCTCCGTGCCCACCAACAGATTCACACCTGCAGAAATAAAATAAATCCACCTCTAAATAACCGAGATCTTCTGAGGAAGTATTCTAATACGGCTTCCGGTAGCCTAAAAATAACAGCAAGGATTCTTTGGGGGTTTTCAACCAAAACAACTATTCCATTAAACACATCTGGTTGACTAGCTTTATTATGTAAACAGACAATTCTTTTCATTCTCACCCCACAGCGCAGCACACAGGATCTCAGAGTTGAAGCGCTTCTTGTACTTGCGGATCTCAGGCGTGTCATTCGGGGGGCGTGTGTTTGTGGGGTTCACATTCACCATAGATCCTTTCCGCACTTCCATCTTCAGCTGCTCAAATCTAGAGCCTGAAGAACAAGGAATCAATATTATCATTGAGCCCCTATAGACAGGTGAAGGTAACATTTCAGCGGCAGCCTAAATATAGCCAACGTGGTTTATGTAGAATGCAAATCTTGGTTTTTACATGTGCCTCTGGTAAAAAGTTATTTGGAACGTTAACTAAACATGATCCATATAGAATTATGCTGATAAACTCAGTAAATTTAAAACAGTTTGGTTGTTCAGTAAAAAACAAATACAGGCATATTGGTGTATTTTACAAACAAAATATAAGAAATTCCAACATCTGACCTAAACTCATGAAGCCATGTCTGATTCAACAGGAGATTAAGGAACAGAGATTAGTAGAGTTATTAATAAATATAATTTAAGCATAATTGCAGAAAATGACAACTGAACGCATTCATTTACATTATGCAAAACTAAAATTCTATAAAAATTAAATAAAATATTAAATATTTAATTCATATTTTTAATTCCATACCATAAAACAAGATACATATATTAAACATGGACACACGTCAAAGGATTATACAGTTAAATGATTTATTTGTGTTGTTTTTTTGAACCAAATTTGAAACTCAATGATTTGGAAACAACAATGGCTGTAAAAAGTAATATTTCTAACACCAATCCCTTATTCCAGGAACTTGTAGCAACTCATGGGAAATTTCAGGAAACTGTAACTTTAAGGGGTCAACATGTGTGTTTTCAAACATCATATCCATAAATCAAACAATACAACTGGAAGTTATGTGATGTTTGTATAAAGACTTCAGGTCGAATGCAGCTGCCAACAGCTGCAGCCATCATGTTAGGCACAGATCCATTAAATACTTGCAGACTTTGACCAGAACCTTCTTGAGTAGCTTGTTTTTACACTGAATTAAAAGGTTTCGGAAACAAAAAAACTCTAAATTAATTCAATGTGGCGCCTATCTAAAACAGATTCATATTTACTCTGAGCAGACGTTTGAGGCCATTTGAAAGCTTCTGACTCACCGCTGATTGACACGTTATCCCCTGTACCACCTGGTGACTGGTACATGCCAAGATCCACAAAGGTGGTGAAGGAAGACTTGCCCGAGGCTTTCACCAAACCCCTGGACTGATACTGGTGAAGCGGAAGGAGTGCAGTATGTTATGGTGAAGTCGATAGAAAATTAATTTTGAACAAAAATTTAGAAAATAAACTCAGATGGCACGTTACCAATACACATATCATAACGGGAACAGAGAAAACTAATGGTGCTTATTGCACATTTCAAGGCTGAAAGGACGACCGACATAGCAGACATAAAAATAACCCAGGAATCGAGGCCTGATATACTTAGAAGCAGTGAAACTTGCATCATAAACAGAGTCCTTTCCTGGAGAGGAGTGAGAGGCTGAATCCGTGGGAGAATGTGACGGCTGCACCACATCTGGTAAGTTCGTGTATCCATTATGGCTCCTCTTCTCTGGGGTCTTCCAGGTAAAACAAACACACACAACTCATTATGTAATGATGACGCCACAGATTTAAATCTGGGCTGCAACCTCATAAAACATGATCAACCGGGGGGGAAAAATGAACTACTTAAAAATCCCTAAGGACCCCCAAAAAAAGAAAAGAAATGCCTTTACAATTTGAGACTATTCTAAAGGTTTCTATAAAGTTTTCATTTGACAGTCTAAACATTTTTTTTTTGACCAACCAGGACTTCTAGCTGTCAGACTAAACATGAAAGGAAACATCTCAGTTTTATTGAGTAACATTAAAGAAATATTTTCTGAAGCAACAGAATCTAAAGAGACCAACTGAAAAAGAGCTCTGAGACTTAAACATGCAAATTAGATGAAGATTAACCTGAGCTTTAAGATACTTCATCACCATCAGTTAACCTTTGAGGAAAGTGTTTTACTTAACGACATAAATCCTGATTATTGAATATTCTGTAGCATTAAAGAGGGAAAAGATATCTACGTCCCAATCTGCAGTACAAGTTACATTTATAGCAGAATGTTTACTTTCTCCAGATCTCTGAGGTGAATTTTATT